GCTTCTCCATTAAAAATGAGTGTTGAAGTAAATTGATATGGGAAGTAACAGTTCAATTAGGTACTGTTGTGTTAGCTTGGTGATAATAGCTGCTATGGAATCTATGGTTTATTTGTATTTTTTTAAAAATATTTTTGGGTGTCAACTCGAAGACAATCTATCTTAACAAGAAGCAAGCAATACTTCTCATTTTACATTATTTTGCTTGTTTCCATTCATTCCCAAACTCATTCATTATTTTAAGATAGAATTATTTGGTCATCCCATTACTTTGATTCTTGCAGGTCATGTCAACCACTCGATTTTCTGGAAGAATCTGACTCCTGTTAGTGTAAGTTCATATTTCCATCTATCTGTCTTACAAGCCTTTTTTTAAGCCTTCATCTGCCTAATACCGCAATGATTTGTTCACGGCAGCATGGAGGTGGTGAGCCCCCTCATGGTTCCCTGGGCTGGGCTATTGACACAAATTTTGGTTCTATGGAAGCATTAGTGCAAAAGATCAATGCAGAAGGCGCTGCTTTGCAGGGTTCTGGATGGGTGGTAAGTTTTGCATATTGTTGATTTTTCCAACATTTGTTTCATGTCATTTGACTAGATGCTTCAGTCAAAATTCAGTATGTTCACCTACTTCTTTGATCTTTCTTGGCAGTGGCTGGCTCTAGACAAAGAGTCGAAGAAACTTGTGGTTGAAACCACTGCAAATCAGGTAAACCTCACAAGATTTACTTTAAACCCATCTCTACATCTACTAGTATAGTTTTTCGCACTATGTGTGCTTAACAGTAAGTCAAGCCATATTCAAATTGCATAACTCCATCCTGCCTGTTGACTGATGCCCTCTCACTATGATGTAGTTTAGACTCCTGATGAATTGTACAATTAGCCCCTTATGGTCCTTCTTCTTTCCGGTAATCATGTATGCTTGAGAACTGTTTGTTGTTGACTTATCATGGTTAGAATTACTCTAAGAAGTTTAGGTGTAACGTTGTGTTGAAGATTTGTTGCTTTTATGTTACCCCATCTTTTAAGGATTGTTCAAAATTCAAATATTAAAGATTTTAGGATCTGCAAAGGTTGCTGTTCTGGAACACTTTGTATAACCTTCTTTTGATTTATTCTTTTAGGACTCATAACAGTTGACTGATGTGCAGCACACACACGTGGTGCTTCTATTTCATCAGAATATTTGTAAATCTGATTAATTTTGTTTCAGGACCCATTGGTTACCAAAGGACCAACTTTAGTTCCATTGCTTGGTATTGATGTTTGGGAGCATGCGTACTACTTACAGGTACGTTTAACTTGTGGAAATTTGCCTCTCCTAGATTTTCTTAATAGTTCTGTCTTCCTTATGTTACAAAGATAAATGATGCAAAAGTATAGGGCTTTATGCATACAGCTGTTGAAAACTTTCAATTATTCTCCTTTGGGGCATCAGTTTATAACTAGTGAGTCTAAGAGGGGTGTTAAAACTGTCTTTATGAAACAAGTCATTTTTGCTCATTGGAGTCGAATTATTTATGTGGGAAAGGTCATCCCGTGTGATGAAGTTTGCGTTTAGGTTTTATTCAGTTTTTTTTTTCCAATGATGTTCTGTATACAGCCTCCTTCATATGGGGGAAATTTTTTAATTAGCATCTTAAATAAATACTTTGAAGACTTCACACGAACTCATCGTTTATTCAATTTAAAATCAGCTTCGCTTACCACCAAGCCCAATGATGAAAGCTTATAAGATTTATTGTCAGTTCTATTTGCTCTTTTAGCAGTGGTTTTTGATCTGTGTGATTATTTTCCTGCTTTGCTCCTCATGTATCATGTGAGATGAATTAAGACATCTGTTTGTGGTTGCAGTATAAGAATGTGAGGCCAGATTATCTGAAGAACATATGGAAAGTAATCAACTGGAAGTATGCCGGCGAAGTGTACGAGAAAGAAAGCCCTTGAGGCTATGAGCAAATGAAGGGTGGCATTAGCAGCTGGTTGAGTTGATGAAATAAAATGATGTACGTGACAAATGAGGACCCCCCTTATTTAATCATCGGCATATCCCATCCCAATCCCATCCCTTGTATGAAATTGAGATAGTGTAAGAGTTATGTACTTATTTAATCACTGTTTGTTTCTTTTTTGGTTGTTCCACTGTTTGATCGTTTGATGCAATAAGTTATGTATGTAATTGGAGCTTTGTCTATTTTGCTGCCTGAAATAAGCTCTGTCGGCAACTTTTGCTTTGATTTTGAGGGGCTTGAGGGTAAGTAAAGTTGAGGCACTATTCAAATCGTTGCAATCCAACCATATTGAAATCTTATGGAAATAAAGAAGTTTGTCTTGAAAACCAGTGAGCAATCGATGATCTTTTCATATTGATACCAATGACTGTAAACAACTTAAC